GAAGGTGACGACTCTATTAGTGCCTCACAAATGTCAAGATTAAAGAAACATGACAAAACACATGCAGGAAATGAAATTGGAACAACTTCTCATGTAATATATTTTATGTGTTTGTAAATATTGTACTAAAAAATTTAGTATTTCTTGTTTGATATCTCATTTCTTATATGAAGGGTCACACATGTAGAACAAGCAGAATGTTGCAACGAAGTGGACAGTGATATAGACACATATTCAGTAGCAGATTATTTAAATGATATAAATACGATTGAGGTAGTAACACATACACATCACGTATAGTTGTAAAAATTGCTGTCTTCCAACTATCACAACATTCACTATAATTGTTGTTTTAAGCCAACAATACAGTGCTTGTTTTTCTGCTCCATTTAGTGACATTCTACAAATGTATCAATCAGAATGAAGTATTTATAATATCAAAAAATCTAAAACAAGCACTGTGTGCCGATGGCTTTATTGTTAATTTTTTTTATGAATTTGGATCGTATTATTGAATAATTTCTTTTAGGTACAAAGTAAGAAGTATAAAACATTGTGTTTACCTGAAGAGTGCATATTAAATAATGAAGATTTTGGGAATTTTGAATATATGAAGAAAGCCAAAAATATTTTAGATTTTCTTTCCATCGCTGAAATGTTTAACAAAATCTCAACTACGGTAAGATGTAGTCCTGCTGAACTTGTATTAATGATTCTAAAATTTTGTAATACTTATATGTTACCTTTAAGTGCGTTAAGTGATATGATAAGTCTAATTAATAATATTTTTGAACATTCAATATTGCCTGAATCGCGTTATTTAATCGATAAACTATTTAATTTTCAAAATAAAGCGCGATATCATATAATTTGTCCAACTTGTTCCAAAAATTTAGGGCAAATGAAAGAAAGCGATAAAGCTGTTTATTGTGATATGTGTGACTCATCAATTAATGTCTCAAATGTGTCTCCTTCTAACTGTTTTGTAATACTACATCCTTCAACAGAAATTTCAAACCTTGTGCAACATCATCAAGATTATTACAATAATGTTATAAACAAGAGACTGAATGAAAGTAGTGATATCCATGATATTTATGATGGACAAT